AGAAACTTGTCACACGGGGGTTTCCCCTCAGACTGATCTTCAGAAAGACAGAGAGCACCCCTTCTAAGGGCCTGGAGGGAGGGAGGATTATGCCAGAATGCAGCTCACCTTCCACAGTAACAGAACAGAATCAGACCACCCCTTCCTGTCCTTCCAGGCTCCCAGATGGCTCTTTGACCTTTTCCAAGAACCCCACTCTCCCAAGGGTCCTGTGAGCTCCTCTCACCTGAGGCTGGGGAGAGGTCTCCAGCACAAGGTAAGTCATGTCCCAGCTGCATACACCGGACCTGGGGGTGTTGCTGCCATCAGTCCCTACAAAATCACAGGGAGGGCTAGCAGAGGACACGTGCAGTGAAAGGAAGGGGGTGGATCGGTCACTTGGAGAAGAAGATTCCTTTTCATATCTTCCCCCCAAGGCTGCAAACCATTTCCTTCTCAGATTTTTAGGGCCAAGAGGAGAGAGACATTTCTTCCTCCTCACTTCCAAGTCCAGTCTTTTAGCCTAAAAGGTAAGCAATTTTTCACTTGTCATCCTCTTTTTGTGTCTTCCGCAGATGCTGTGCTCTCTCGCTAGGCCCAGGGGTATAAACCTCACAAGCTGTTTCTCTCCTATTCATAGAGAGCTGAGCTCTGGTGTAATAAGACTCAAGGGACAGGGAATTGGACAGGGAGCAAAGGGCGTATCAGTCAACATTCAAGCACTATTCCTCGTTTCTGAGTCTTCATTCACACCCTGACCCCTTCTTACTTCTATGTTCCTTGAGTTGACACCTGGGGGAATCCTCAGGCCCTTGGTAGTCTTCTCTGGGGCCCTCTAAGTGTGGGGAGCAACTGGGAGCAACTCGGACTAGACTAAGTTACTGGAATTAAGACTTATTCTATGCATCTGCTCTCCCACAATATGGCGCTGGGAGAGGAGCAAACAGCTTCTACACAGCTGCCTCCAGTTCAACCAACAAGCTGCAGGACCTGCTCCTGATTGGAGGAGAGCAGCGTACTCGGTGTGTGGGTAGCAGAGTTGGGATTGGTGGAAGAGGACTATAAAGGAGGAGAGAGACAACATGCACCGGGAACATCTATCTGAAGGAACACCTGTGCAGCCCCCGAGAGAGCCGGCCGGCGGTGTGCCACTCCCCCGCGGAAGTGGGGAAAGTGGCAGGGGGAACCGCCCTTCCATGGAGGTGGAAGGGATGGTAGCCAACCCGGGAAGAACCAGCAGCAAACCCGGGGAGGGCCGAGCAGACAAAAGAACAGTGCAGGGTTTAGTGTCGTTCCTCCATGAAGAGGGGGAGCGACATAATGGTGCCGTGACTCGGATATGAAGCCTAGGCAGGGTTTAGTGTCGTTCCTCCATGAAGAGGGGGAGCGACATAATGGTGCCGTGACTCGGATAGGAAACCTAGGAGGGAAGAAGCGGGAAAATACCGGAGAGAGAGACTAGCAAAGAGCCTAGGGAAAAGCCGGACGGAAAAGGTGCCGGAAGAAGCTATCGAAAGCCTAGGCATAGACTCAGATACGGACTACGGGGGGAAGCTGAGAGAAATCTCTAAGGTCGAAAGCGAAAGTGAAAGCTAGAACAAATAGACTCGGATACGGACTGTGGGGAGAAGCCAGGAGAAATGAGAGGGGAATATTGTTGGAAGAAAACTTAGGGAAACATACCGGGTAGAGAAAAATGTTAGGGAAAATGAAGCCGCCGCGGGGCGGGCGCCAGGATGCCACAGGGATAAGAGAAACAGAAGTTTAGAAGTAAAATGAGAGAAATAGGAATGCTGGCAGATAGAAGTAAAATGGGAGAAATAGGAATGCCCGGAGATAGAGAAATAGAGAAAAATAAGGCCTCCCCACAACACGGCAATGAGAGGGCTTAGATTCGGTCTGCCTGATTAGGGAGGCGGTAAGCACCTGTGGGCGGCTAGCAGCTTATGCGCCGCAGGTCACCGAAGACAGGCACGAATTAACATCAATAAGTCTCCCCACAAGACGGCAATGAGAGGGCTTGGATTCGGTTTGCCTGATAGGGTTTGTAAGCACCTGCAGGCAGTTCTAGCAGAGCAGAGCATGCGCTGCAGGGCACCGAACACAGGCACACATCAGCGCCTAAAAACCTCCTCACAACATGGCGAAGAGAGGACCCAGATTCGGTTTGCCTGATTGATAGGGCTTGTAAGCACCTGTGGGCAACTCTAGCAAGCAGAGCAGAGTGTGCACCGCGGGGCACCGAAGACAGGCGCATATCAACGCCAAAAAATAAAAAGAAAGGGGGATCTGTGGGGAGCAACTCGGACTATACTGTTACTGGAATTAAGACTTATTCTATACATCTGCTCTCCCACAATATGGCGCTGGGAGAGGAGCAAACAGCTTCTACACAGCTGCCTCTCACCAACTTGACAAGCTGCAGGAGCTGCTCCTGATTGGAGGAGAGCAGCGTGCTCAGCGTGTGGGTAGCAGAGCATGGATTGGTGGAGAGGACTATAAAGGAGGAGAGAGACAACATGCACCAGGAACATCTATCTGAAGGAACACCTGTGCAGCCCCCGAGAGAGCCGGCCGGCGGTGTGCCACTCCCCCGCGGAAGTGGGGAAAGTGGCAGGGGGAACCGCCCTTCCACGGAGGTGGAAGGGATGGTAGCCAACCCGGGAAGAACCAGCAGCAAACCCGGGGAGGGCCGAGCAGACAAAAGAACAGTGCAGGGTTTAGTGTCGTTCCTCCATGAAGAGGGGGAGCGACATAATGGTGCCGTGACTCGGATATGAAGCCTAGGCAGGGTTTAGTGTCGTTCCTCCATGAAGAGGGGGAGCGACATCTAAGTCCTCTTCTAAAAGTTTAAAATCTGTGTGTTCATATGGATGGTCATTAAAAAAAAAAAACACACACACATCATGGGGGCCGGCGCTGTGGTGCAGTGGGTAAAGCCACTGCCTGCAGAGCCAGCACCCTGTAGGAGCACTGGTTTGTGTCCCGGGCAGCTCCACTTCTGATCCAGCTCTCTGCTATGACCTAGGAATGCAGTAGAAGATGACCCAATTGCTTGGGCCCCTGCACCTGTGTAAGAGACCTGGAAGAAGCTCCTGGCTGCTGGCTTCAGATCAGTGCAGCTCTGGCCACTGTGGCCATCGGGGAGTGAACCACCTGATGAAAGACCTCTCTCTCTCTTCCTCTCTCTCTCTCTCTCTCTGCCTCTCTATAACTCTGCCTTTCTAATAAATAAATATATCTTTAATAAAACCACATTTTTATTCCTGATGACTAAGTTCAAGGAGGACATATATTATTTGTCTATGTACCCTTAATTCTTAGCAGGCTGCCTGGCACATTGTAAGTGCTCAAGAAATATTTGAGTGAATGGCAAAAACACGAAAGAAAGAGATAAGACCCCTGCCGACTGGAATGCTGGAACGGAAACATACACATGCAAAGCAATAACAGAACATTACAGAGTGATACATTTGTACATTGTACAATTTCCTTTCGTTGAGAGCAGCTGAGTGATCCTCTCAGTTAAGGTGTACATAATACATATTAGCAATCTTGGGCTTAGCAAGTTAAGCTTCCCCCTGTGATGCTGGCATCCCATATGGGCACAGGTTCTAGACCTGGCAGCTCCACTTCCACTTCTGATCCAGCTCCCTGCTAATGTGTCTGGGAAAGTACAGAAGATGGCCCAAGGGGATGGAAGCCCCCCCCCCCACTCTTCTAACAATTTCACACACACACACACACACACACACACGTATGTAAAGCAATCTTTCCCCATGGATGAGAGTGTGATCAAGCCATTTGTGACTCATTCTAGACTGACATTCCTTCCTTGAAGTTCCTGGAATGGGAAAGGGAAGAGGTTTGTGGAAGAGGTCCATTCTCAGTAGGATCCTGGGGACCCCGGGAGTGAGTTAGTCATTGCAGGAAGCTGTGGCAGTCGACCAAGGTTACTGTGGCACAGAATCCAGAAATAAAATGTGAGGAAAAAGTCCAGGCTGGTGATCTGAGGCTCAAGCACAAATCAGGGAGAGAACTGGTTGCTTCCTTGTTTGTTTGAATTTCTATTTATTTTTTATTGTAATTTGAACAGCAGAGAGACAGGGAACTACCAATGTTGTTTCGATCTCCAAATGCCTGCAACAGTCAGGGCTGGACCAGAGCAAAACTAGAAGCCTGGACTCAGTCCTGGTCTCCCACGCGGGTTAACAGGGACTCAGGTACTTGAGCCATCACTGGCTGCCTCCCAGGGTGTTCATTAGCAGGAAGCTGGAATCAAAGCAGAACCCAGACTTGAACCCAAGAACTCTTGTTGCCGTGCAACACCCCCAACTCGACTGCTGACCTCAGGGTGAAGGAATAGGTATTTATTGCAAAATGTAGAGCAAGGAGCTGGCAGCTATTGCTTAATTCCCAGGCTCCCCTAGGAGTTAGGGGTCAAGGTTCTTACAGATTGGACTTGGGGCTGAGAGGTGAGTGATCAGCTCATGTACAAATTCCTGGTTGGTCAATGATGCTGTGACCTTCGTTTGTTTTGTCAGCAATGCCCTGTCCTTTAGGGAACGTGTGATGGCCAGGTGGCTTTCGTTTGGTCTGGGGGGTGGGGGTGGGGAGTAGTCATTTTCTGCTCCAAACCTGGGATTTCCCTGCCTGGACCCAGAATTCCCCTAAACAAACCCCTCCAGACAATACTGGCCATCAGGGTTTATCTATTGGAGAAACAAATGACTCCAGTGATTAGAAACTTGTAAGGACAGCTATACAACTCTCTCAATTTGAATCCTTTTGCTAAAGGATAGGAAAGGACACCCCAGACTAAGGGAGACAGAGGCTGGGTCCTGCCTTTACATTACAGGAGTTCAGTCTGCCACAGGATGTGGTTCTCCCAAGCAGTGTTTTAACCCCTGCACCAACGCCCTCTTTGAGAGAACTGTTTGTCACAAGTCTCAGGCTAATGATCAACCTGCTCCCCCTCCTGGCTGTCCCAGCACAGTCCTTGTACTCCGCGGCGCCGCGGCCGGTGTTAAACAAGCTGAAGAGGAAATGAAAGTGAGGTGCTAAGAATACGATTTGGCTTCCCTGAAGAGAAGGTGGCCCTGCCTGTGCAGGTAGCTGGGCAAGCAAGTCTGATTCACAAAAGGACCTGCACCTTCTATTAGGAGGACAAGGAGGACCAGTTTTTCACCGCTACACTCAGTGGAACGGGTTATGCCAGTTATGCTCGCGAAAATTAGGACGAACTGCTGGGGCACAAAGAGGATGAGCAGTTTCTAGCATCTTGCTATCCAAAGCCTGGTGGTTCCCGGACCCAGCAGCCTCAGGGTGAAGGAATAGGCGTCTTCCGGCTGCCTGTAGAAATGCAGAATCACGGACTCCGCTCAGACTTTCTAAGTCAGAACCTGCAGTTTAGCAAGTTCCTCGGCGGATGCGCGTGCACTTTCAAGTTTCGATAGCACTGAGACTGCTTAACGATGGAGGGGCTTGAACGGCGGAAGCGTAGGGAGAAGCCTCAAGGGGTCCCCGCGAGCGAACCGAGCAGGCTGGAGAGGAAGAAGCCTGAAGACTCGTCCCGGAGCAGCCCGGACTGAATGGGCAAAGCTCGCCGGGACCTCAGAACAGAGGAGTGATACCACAGGAGCGCCCGATAGCGCCAAAATGTCCGCAGCCACTGCCATCCACCACCACCCCGTCCTTTGCCATTCATCCTGGTCCACCCTGATTTCCCATTCCGGGGCTTCTCCACATTGAGTAGCCTGGTTCGAAGGACCGCGCCGGGCTCGGTTTGATTCTGTCGAGTTCTGTTGCTTCGGCCTAGCTCGGTTGCTAAGGTCTGGCGCTTCGCGGTTGCGGAGGAAATGATGTCACTACCAATAGGCGTGCTAGGCAGCTCCTCCCTCCTCCCGACTGGCTGTCAGGAGTTTGACTCCTTCGTGGTCTCGCAGGCTGCAGGGTTTGTTAGTCTCTCTCCACCTGCCTCCGTGCCCACCTCTGCCCCGCAGCGTGTCCTCCTGGGCAAGACTCGGAGCGCAGCACTCATTGAAGCATTTAGCTTCGGAAGAAGGGGCGCTTCGGAAGGAGAGGTGATTCAAATGGCCACGTTCTTGCCGCCTTGCTACACGCGCTAACTGCCTACGCGCTTTTTGACCTAGTCGGGTGTCCGTAGTAGGGGCGGCTCCCCGAGCCGCAAGGAATTGTGGAATTTATAGTTCTAAGCCAGGTCTGGGGAAAACGGGGTCTCGAGTAGGACCGAATTTTGGAGCAAAAACAAACAGAAACAATCGAGAACTTTCAGGGCCAGGGTCTCGGTGGCAGGATGGGAGGAGCCGGAAAAGCATCATGGGCACGGATCGCGCAGTCAGTACTATTTTGGTTTTCTTTTCAGGTGCTGACTTGAGCCTGCAGCATCCCTTTCGACTCCAGCAGGTCAGCCCGGGTCGGAGGGCCCAGGCAGCCAAATGGAGACGCCACCGGTCCTTCCAGTGGGAGAGAAGGATGCTTCTCCACCGCAGCAACCGTGGGAACAGGACTCCCGGGGGAACCTTGCTTCGGCTACTCAGATTAGGCTGCAGCCCCCAGAGCCTCCTACTCAAAGCCTTCAGCTGGGACTGAGTCCAGATCCAGCCAGCCGGCGTCTGGAGCATCCTCGCGGGACCCCAACACAGCTCGCCGGGCCTGAAGGAGGCTCTGATACGTCTCGGGGATCACCCAGCGAGGCGCCAGAGCCCCTGCGCGCTCCCGACCTCTGGCGCTGTCCCGATGGGAGCTTTGTCAAGAAGATCATAACCCGCGGCCGCGGCCTGGACAAACCCAAGCTGGGCTCCCGCTGCCGGGTGCTGGCTTGCGGGTTTCCTTTAGGGTCAGGGCCTCCGGAGGGCTGGACGGAGCTCACTATTGGCATGGGGCCGTGGAGGGAGGAAGCTTGGGGGGAGCTTGTAGAGAAATGCTTGGAGTCCATGTGTCAAGGCGAGGAAGCAGAGCTTCGGCTCCCTGGGCACTCTGGGCCTCCTGCCGGACTCACGCTGGCCTCCTTCACTCCGGGCCGGGACTCCTGGCAGCTGCAGATCAGCGAGAAGGAGGCCTTGGCGAGGGAAGAACGGGCAAGGGGCACAGAACTGTTTCGAGCCGGAAACCCTGAAGGGGCTGCCAGATGCTACGGACGGGCCCTTCGGCTGCTGCTGACTCTCCCCCCTCCGGGTCCCCCAGAACGAACTGTTCTTCACGCCAATCTGGCCGCGTGTCAGCTGCTGCTAGGGCAGCCCCAGCTGGCGGTCCAGAGCTGTAACAGGGTCCTGGAGCGGGAGCCTGGCCACTTAAAGGCTTTATACCGAAGGGGGGTTGCCCAGGCTGCCCTCGGGAACCTGGAAAAAGCATCTGCTGACCTCAAGAAGGTGCTGGCCGTAGATCCTAAAAACCGGGCGGCCCACGAGGAGTTGGAGAAGGTGGCCAATCGGGAGAAGAAACAGAAGGCAGGGCTGGCTCAGGGTCTGCGCAAGATGTTTGGCTGATTAAAAGTGAACAGAGACAGGAGCCTGTTGAATTGTGTTTGCTGTAGGATGTGGTGGTGGGTGGAGCGGAGGGGAGATTTCAGCCCCTCTCCCCCAGCTTTGCCCTCCTGGAGGAGGTGGCGCTGATCTCAGGGGGCCGCTTTTGGGGGGCGGGCCGGGGGCTTATCCTTTTCCGAAGACGTCTGGAAGACGAATACACTTCTAAATTTACGACCGGAGTGGGGAAGGTGGTGGTCTTTGAAATCCCGGGAACTACATCTCCCAGGCTCGTTGTCGGGGGGTGGGGTGGGGGTGCTGTTTGGCGCATGCGCTCACTCTACAGCCCGGTACGCCGCAGCGCCCGTTCCCGCTGCCCTGCTCCCATTGGCTCTGTCTGTACAGTCATCGCTTCTATTGACTCATGTGCTCAGCACGCAGGCCTCTTATTGGTCCGTTGAGCTTCCGGGACGCCTCCTTTTCTTTAACACCCAGCTGATTGGCGGACGGCGGGGAGAGGCGGGCCTTGGAAACCGTCTCATGGTTGGGGGGCGGGGGGAAGATGGCGGAGCTAATGCTCCTCAGCGAGATTGCGGACCCGACGCGTTTCTTCACCGACAACCTGCTGAGCCCGGAGGACTGGGGTCTGCGGAGTGAGGCCACGGGGAGGGGAGAGAGCTATGGCAAACTGTGTACCTGGGACACACAGCGGGAAGGAAGCGGAGGCCCCAAGAGGGAGGCAGGGCAAACACGGAGTCCACCATCGGAGGAGGGCGGAGCAGGGGGGGCTCGCTGAGCGCTCAGGGGTGCGGGAGTCGGGAAGCGTGTGCAATGGCGAGTTGTTCCGGGGTCGAGGAAGGAGGGGCTGACGTTCTTTGGTTGTATCACTTTTCAAGTGGGCGGGCAGTGGGTCTGGCCGAGCCGAGCCAATGAGGGATGGGGCGCGGAGTGTGTGCGGCGTGTAGGCTGGGCGCCGGCGACCCCCGTGACAGCGCACTCCTTTGCAGACAGCACCTTGTACGCCGGCCTGGATGAAGTGGCCGACGAGCCGGCGCAGCTTTTTCCTTGCCCAGAACAGGATGTCCCGGTATTGCTGCCCCGGACTTTCTGTAACCCTGGGTGGGTGGGTGGGAGAGGTCCCAGAAGCCCGGCCTCTGTCTTACATTCCTGTTCTGCTCTGCTCCCGTGTGCAGTTTGACAGCAGCTCTCTGGATGTGGGGATGGATGCCAGCCCACCTGAGCCCCCCTGGGACCCTCTGCCTATCTTCCCGGGTGAGCTGCCTTTTGAGAAACCCTCATCTTCCCACCGTCCCCTGAAACCACGCAGTCCCCCGCGTCCCCTGCTTCCTGTGCCTGCTCCGCATAAATGCGCGTGCGCTTCTCTCCCTTTAGTCCCCCGCACTGGCGTGTGCTCGCTGGGACGCCCTGGTGGAGCTCCCACCGCGGCCCCCGCATCTCTTCTCGGTGACCGCTTGCTGGTTACACGTTTTACCCCCCTTCCCTCCAGATCTTCAGGTGAAGTCTGAGCCGTCCTCCCCCTGTTCTTCCTCCTCTCTCAGCTCGGAGTCATCACACTTCTCCGCAGTGGAGTCGTTAGCGTGGATATAGCGCATGGCATCGCTCCTGGAAGTTGTTCATCAGCTTTTGTCCCCCCCCCCCCCCCCCGCTCCCTTCCTTCCCACACAGATGCAAAGGAAGCGATAGGTGGGGTTTGCCTTTGCCTTTTTCTGCCTATCCTTTTCCACACCCCACTCTGGTGTGGACAGGTGGAAAGGATGTCTTTTAATAGTCAGCAACGTGGGGCTGGGGAGAAGAACGCTGGACACTGCTGAGAGTCCTGGACTGGCCCAGGTGCCCAGTCTTGGAAATCCTGCGACTTCTTCAGCACTCCCAGGAAGAGAGAAGGAACAGGGGCCAGAGACACTTAGTACCATTCAGACCAGAATGTCAAATAGTGGTTTGTGAGCTCCATAAAGCTTTCTTCTTGCTCGTACTCTCAACACCTACCTTGTTCTTGTTCTGTCTTTCTCTCACCCTGCTCCACCCCAACTGTCACCCAGGGCCCAGGAGTAGGGGAGGTGCTGCACGTGAAGACAGAATCCTTGGCGCCCCCGCTGTGCCTCCTGGGAGATGATCCAGCACCCCCATTTGAGATCGTCCAGATCAATGTGGGCTCCACTTCTGATGACCCCTCAGGTAACACCAAGTCCCAGGCTTCACCAGGGTGAAAGAGGAAGGGACAGGTGGAGAGAATCTAGAAAGGAGAAGGAGACTTGGAGGAGCCCACAGCGAAGGCAGCATTGAACAGAGGGAAATGAGTTTTCTTTTTCTTTCTTGTTCCTAGAATCCTGTTGTGTCTCTCGGCTTACTGTTTGTATTTGTGAAAATCTTACTTATTTTCACTGTGTTTGAAAGGCAGACAGAGACAGAGAAAGAAAGAGATCCTCCATCTGCTGGTTCACTGTTCAAATGTCCACACCACCCAATGCTGAACCTGGACCCTAGACCTCTGGGTCTCCCTGGTAGGTGGCAGAGACTTAAATACTTGAGCCATTACCTGCTGCTTCCCACAGTGCTCATTATCAGGAAGATGGATTGGAAGCAGTGCCAGGACTTGAACCCCGGCGCTCTGATACCGGATGCTGGTATCCCAAAGCACTGTCTTAACTTTTGCACTGAACACTTGCCCCTAATTTACATTGAAAAAAACAAACAAACAAACAAACAAACGTGTGGACAGTTTAGGGCATATTTATTTGTGTACTTCCACCCCTCAGGGTTTTATTTTAAATTTTTTTGACCATTCAGAAACATTGGAATACCATATACCTAATTCCTAGGTCGTGCAGTTAGCATTATTTGTGCTACTTTTAAAATGTTTTCAACTTGGGGTGGGCATTGTGCTACGGCAGGTTAAACCAATGGTTGGGACACCCACATCTCATACCCAACTGCTTGGAGTCCAGTCCCGCTTCAGCTTCCTATCCAGCTTCTTACTGATGCACCTGGGAGGCAGCAGAAGGTGGCCCCTGCACTTGGGTCTCTGCCACCCACATGGGAGACCTGGACGGAGTTCCTGGCTCCTGGCATTGACCTGACCCATCCCAAGCCATTGTGAGCATTTGGGGAGTGAACCAGCAGATGGAAGATCTGTGTCTCCTTTTTTCTCTGTCCCTGTGTCCTTGAAATAAATAAATAAAATTAAAAATTTTTTTTTCTCAACTTTATTTGCCATTACGTATTTATTTGATAAATATTTATTGAGCACCTATTCCCACGCCAGGTCCTGGACAGGGTGCTGGGAACATAAAGGTGAACAAGACGTGACCACCATTCTGACTTCAGAGTCCTGTGGGGTAGCAGAAGAAGCACAAGTACCAGTCGGATAATGCTAGGGGAGTGGTCGTCAGGGGGCCATGAAAGCTCCTACGAGGGCCCCTCAGCCAGACTGGGGCTGGATCTCGTGCTCCGGGAGGAAGGGTTTCCTGAGCCGAGTCTCTGAAGGACACATAGAAGTTAGCCAGTGGAGCATGAAGGAGTCGGCAGGTGTGCATGCGTGTGTGTGTGTGTGTGTGTGTGTGTGTGTGAGGATCCTGCGTTTCTGCATGTGAGGAGGGTATGGGAATGGCAAGGAGCTGCGGAGGCTACAGGGTCTTGCGGAAGGGCTTCAGCTTTGATTCTGTGAGCAATCGAGAGTCTTGGAAGAATTAAGCAAGGGAGCAACATGATTAAGAAGATGACCCTGGTCATGCAGAGTTGAGAATTTGGACTGCAGAGAAGCGGGAGGACCAAGGAAGAGGCTAATGCTGTTCATTAAGATGCTGATGCCAAGAAGAAGGCAGATTTGGGAAAGGCTGATGTAGAATGGATGAGTTGAGTGGCCTCCTGGGTTTCTGACACGGGCAGCTGCCGGCGGGTAATGGTTCTGTTAGCAGGAGAGCACCTGCGAAGGCAGGAGCTGCTGGGGCAGTGTTGTACCTGTTGGCTGTTGGTCTCAGGGGCCTTTCGGGTTTCCTGGCACGTGCTGTCGCTGGTGGACTTGGGCCAGCGGCTGGAGGGCTGGGGAGGCAACTAATGTGCTCCCTTCAGGTTTTCTCCCTGGGCTTTGCTGGGAACAGAGCAGGGAAGGGTGGAGTGTGGATTTGGAGGTTATATCCAGCAGATTGTTAAGTATCATTTCTTTTTTTTTATTTTTTATTTTTATTTATTTGACAGATAGAGTTAGACAATGAGAGGGAGAGACAGAGAGAAAGGTCTTCCTTCCGTTGGTTCACCCCCCAAATGGCCACTATGGCCAATCCGAAGCCAGGAGCCAGGTGCTTCTTCCTGGTCTCCCATGAGGGTGCAGGCGCCCAAGCACCTGGGCATCCTCCACTGCCCTCCCAGGCCACAGCAGAGAGCTGGACTGGAAGAGGGGCAGCTGGGATTAGAACCGGTGCCCATGTGGGATGCCGGTGCCACAGGTGGAGGGAGGATTAACCAAGTGAGCCACAGCGCTGGCCCCCTAAGTATCATTTCTTTCTTTCTTTTTTTTCTTTCCTTTCCTTTTCTTTTTTTTTTTTTTTTTTTTTTTTTTGACAGGCAGAGTGGATAGTGAGAGAGAGAGACAGAGAGAAAGGTCTTCCATTGCCGTTGGTTCACCCTCCAATGGCCGCCACAGCCGGTGTGCTGTGGCTGGCGCACCGCGCTGATCCGAAGGCAAGAGCCAGGTGCTTCCCCTGGTCTCCCATGGGGTGCAGGGCCCAAGGACTTGGGCCATCCTCCACTGCACTCCCTGGCCACAGCAGAGAGCTGGCCTGGAAGAGGGGTAACCGGGACAGAATCTGGCGCCCCAACTGAGACTAGAACCCGGTATGCCGGTGCCGCAAAGTGGAGGATTAGCCTAGTGAGCCACGGCGCCAGCCAGTATCATTTCTTAAAAATATTTTCTTTGAAAGGCAGACCTCCAGGGAGAGGGAGAAGGAAGAAGATGATCTTCCATGTACTGGTTCACTCCCTAGATGGTTTTGAAATGGCCAGGGCTTAGCCTAGTCAAAGCCAGGAGCC